AAAAACAGTATTTGCTTGGCCCTATTTACTCACAGTTATATCTTGAGGGCCATGACAACACAACTAAGTGGAGAATAGTTAGATGCCAATATTTCATCATTTTGAAAAAATATATATAAAAATAAATTAAGGCAAATCTCCATCTTTTCATATAGCAATTTATCAAAGGGCTCAAGAATGGGTTCATGGTTTTAATGATTTCTGTTAAGTATTATTGCGTATGATTTAGTAATATAGTTATAAGTAAACAAATGTAAAGACAACTTAATCTTAGCAATGCAACAGATCTCACTAAAGGCTAGAATAGATAATAGAATGATCAAAAGTTGCCACAGGCCAAACGCAATGATAGCTGTTTTAGCAAACTCTTTCAACAGTTACCACAATAAACAAGCAGCCAAAAGGTAAGGACTGAGACTTTCATGCTTTTACCTGAGTCAAAAGAATATGCAACTCTTCTGCCCTCTTGAGTGCCTGTGAGAATAATCAATCAATTAAATAAATATAGATGTCAGGAAATGAGAAATTACAACAAATTTATGTATCTTCTTCTCCCATTATCGATACAAAGATGTGAACTATTATTTCCCATATCTCTGTATAAACCCATTATATGTCTTCAGGGTTATCTCGATCAAAACTTCCGCCACCATGAACATCATATCATAATGAACTAACAGAAGCATGGTGTCTTTAGAGATAAAAATAGTAACAATAATAAAAATAAATAATAAATTATGACACATGCTCACTTCATTCCATTTCAGTTGTTGAGGAAATAGCCATATTGTACACTCAAAACACGGTGTATATCCACACATCAATTTTCTTTGCTGTAAATGCAGATTGAAATATATCTATACACATATATAAATCGTCCATATCATGTCCGATTACAGTGGATCACCAATGAGATCATTTTCTATAAAGTGTTTATCGTGAACTGCGTGAACCCAAATCCTTTAATCATTACATTGGTCAAGTAGTGTTTACTGCAAAAGAAAATAAAAATTTACAGCATATATACCAGTCAATAAACAAGAGGTTCATGCAAAATAGAAATCATGGTCTTAGATTGAATTTATTGCTATACGTAAATATACCTAATTATGAGTTCATTAGGATCTGATACAGACAATTATGTGCTCTCTTCACCAGTCATGTAAAAATAATGAGATAAGAGACGCAGTGTTTGGTCCAACTCAATGGTTCTTACCTATGACTATTGTTTGAACTCTCCACTTTGGATATACTCTGTAACTTTGAGAATAAACAACGAAATAAAAAATGGAGAAGAATACAGAAATAAAAGAAAGAATTTAACATTAAGGTTATGTGCTACCATGCTTGCCTACCAAATCTAAACATTTCATCCACACACATTGAGTACTATCATAACAGAAATAACCTAAAAAAAGCTCAAATCATCTCACCTGCACTCCATATCAGAAATGCAAGAACTTTTAGTCAAATTGATATAAATTTCACATTTATTCAAATCCCAAAGTGGAAGAGGTATGTTTAAGCAAACCTCTACAAGTTCTTAAGCCCCATCATGAGTTCCAACAAAGTCCCATATTACTATCTTCTCCCATATTATGGTAAAAGAGTACGGCTAAAAAGCAATTTATCATACAATCATGAAAATAGGACTTCACCCACTTACAAGAGATTAAAGAAAAAGGTCTACAGACAGACATGTTTGCACGGTATACAACAGATAGCACCTGTATCATGAAGAAGTTAACCAATAACATGCAAGTCGCAAATCTCTCAAAAGCTACCAGATCTGTGAAATTGGTGGAATCGACCTCAGCTCGACATTCGGAAAATTCAAGGTTGTTGTTGTCCGGTTAGAAGAAATCACTGGGGTCCAGCGTGGAGTGGCAAGCCGGACAGGTCCGACCATGGACGATGACGGCTATAAGTCCAGCCTCGGATCGGATGGCGATTGAATCTGTATTCGGACTGATGATAATTCTTGGATTGATGATAATTCAGCCAGATTATAATTCTCGGGCTCATGTTAATTTTTGGTCGGCACGGCCGAGTAAACACGCTGAAACAGACAGAATATCAAACCGTAGACGGTATTCGGAGGTTTGTGTTGGTATGAAAACATGGGTTAGAACTTAGAAGAACTTGGGACAATTCAGTGAGTTATGGCCCTCACGGGACCGATGAACGAACGTTTTGATTTTGAAATAGGACTTTAAAAGGTTGGGGACGGGGAGGATGAGCCGTTACATTCATTCAAGAAATTAAAGAACCAAAATTTTTTATTTTTCTAGTATTCGAACTCTAAATAGAATATTACAAGTTATATTTATGCATATAGTACTAAAATTATAAGTTATACAATGATAGAGTATTATAAGTTATATTTATACATATAATAATAAAAATATAAATTAGATAATGATATTATGTTTTAAAATTTGATCATTGGTTAAAATAAATAGTACATAATTATTCGTATATGAACCACTATATTAATTACATAAAGTATAATAAATAATTTAATTTTGAGAGATCGTCAATTTATTAGCTTAAAAATATTAAATTTATTATAACATTTTATTATGCGATTTTAAGAAATTTTACTCTAACATTAAAATAAATTAAATTATTTAAAAATATAATCGTTAAATAAGATAAAAATAAAGATAATATTAATTTTAGAATAAATAACTTTAGCAAAAAGTTTACAATAATTTTTTATGTTTATGTAACTTCCATATATCATTTAGTGTAAACTATAGTTATTAGTTTTAATAATAACTATTATATGATATAATAAAATAGTCTAATTATTACTCCGTTAATGTAAAATGTAACGGTTTTTGTCTTAATTAACCCTAAAAAAATGCAATGAAATATTTTAGCATTAATTAGATATGGTGGATTAATAATAATAATAATAGAATATTGTAACATAAAAAGATGGTAAACAATAATTAATATTATTAAATTTATTCTTAGTATTTAAATATATATATATATATATATATAGAGAGAGAGAGAGAGAGATATCTATATATATATAAAGAGAAACAACAAAGCATTTAATTTTATTACCATGCATTAAATTTTATTCTCCCTCTAAAATTTTCAGCATTCAATTTCATTTTTAAGTTACAAAATAACTTGCTTGAATGCCATAAATTATGAGCATAAACCAATCAAGGGAGTTACAAAATTGTACCCAAATTTTAAGTCACATCCAGTCATGAAAATGGCCGAGTGTATTACCATAAAGAAAATGTTTGTAACGCCTCTTCCATAGCAATTACTTGATCAAAATCAATTTTGATAATTATTTTCTTAATTCATATTTTCTTTCATCAATTAAATTATGATTTTTTTATATATATTTTTATGTTTTTAAAGTATTCGTCTCTGTGCAAATGTACAGGTTGATTACTAATAAATGATAAAGTTTGTAACGGTTTTTTGAGGGAAATCGAAATGAGGTTTTATTAAATATATTATTAAATGCTATTAGCCAACAATTATATATATATATAGATATAGATTTTATTTTAAATTATTATTATTATTATTTTAAATTCTGAAATGTTACAATCTAATCTCTTAAATTATTTCGTTCTAAAAAATATAATACGTATCATTACCCTAGAACATTCCTAGAAACCTTGGATACTTAGCGCGGATTTTATTTTCTCTTTCTGAAGAAGTTCTTCCTTTCCATGACGATTATGTTTCAATTTAATGAGAACGATATTTATATTCAAGGTTGAATAGTTGATGATGTTACTGGATCATATGCATACTTCCAGAGCATCGATAAGCCAAATCTCCTATTCGATCCAAGACTTCAAAAGGTCCTACAAACCTTGGTTGAAGCTTACCTCTTTTTCCAAAATGAAAAATCGCTTTTAATGGGACTATCTTTAGAAACGCCCTATCTCATACTTTGAAAAGCATGCCCACCTATGATTGTCTGTATATGACTTTTGTCGTGAAATTTTAATCCACTCACGATCTTTTTAATACTTCCCACCTTCTCTTCAACTAATTCAGGTCTCAACATTTTCGCTCGCCAATAGAAAGTGGAGATCTGCACTTTTTATCATTTTTTGAGGTCTTTTCGACCCGTTTATTTGTCCCAGTTTCCCGGTCAGGGGATGTGTGGCTTCGTCGATTATCTGA